CACAATGCCTGGCACAAGTTAAATATGCTACAAGTAATGGCTGAATGAAGATGTCACTGCAACTAGTCTATCAGCCCACCTGTCTATGCTAACTCCCACCGCACAACCTGCCCATGCTCTCCTTGCTCCTCCCCTCCGTCCCACCGCCTCTGGGTCTTACCCTGGACACATGTTCATTCTCTGATTAGTTTCCTCAAACTTAACGAGGCTTTCTATTCCCATAAAGAGTAACAGTCTTGGAAACTCAGAGGGACAGTTCTACCCTATCCTGGAGGGTCGCTACAAGTTAGAGGGGACTAAGCAGCAGTAAATGATAATAAGCCAGTATGCAGCCTGGCCGTCTCTCTAACATTCCTCTTCCATAGTACCTCTCACTGTGTGTCCCGTAGGGTGCAGGTCTCAGCTCACATGCCATCTCACAGCTGTGACCAGGTGGCCAGTTTGTCCAGGGCAGACCTGGACCACACCTGTTTTCCTGCTCTGATCATCACCCCTTTCCACATTCAAGAGTGTTCCTATTTGGACATCAATTTTACGACCTTCCTCTAAGTGACCTGAGAAATAACTCCTGCCAGTGTGCTCTTTAACAAAGACCTGCTTTATTTCCTTTATCGCTGCTTTAAGACTTGTTTATTTAAATGCTGAATTGATGTCTCAGCCACTAAACTAAGAGCTCCAAGTGGGCACGGGTTCTAGCTCTTCTATCGCGGAACTTACAACACCCAGAAACACACCTCACACTCAGTAGGCATCCAACATCTGAGCCACTGTGCGGAAATCTAGGAGCCCTGGAGGTGCTGTCAGGTAAACGTTAGGGTGCTAACCACAAGGCTGGAGATTCAAATCCACCAGTAGTTCTGGGTGAGAAAGATGAAGCTACGGTAAGGTCACTATGCGTGAATGGCAGAAGGGTTTTTGTAGGGGAGCTGGGTCCAATATTTAGATCAGCAGATCCTACGGACCCACCCCCTGGCTTCCCTCTAAGCAACAGACAGGTTCCAGATTCTTTTGAGTCAACTTAAATTCATGACTGAGCTAAGTACTGCAGCAGGAGAGAGAGGAGTTGGAATTGACTCAATGGCAGTGAGAACTAGTTTATATGTTCATGCCATACCAAATGAAAACCAGATGATGACCACGACCAGAGTGGAAGGTCCCAGTTACAAAAGGCAAAAAATGTAGGCAAAAAAAAGGGCCAGCCTTTCTGGTCTGAAAGAGACCAGAACTCCCTATCCCTTTCCTTCCCTCTCCATCCCCCACTGCCCCCACTGCACTAAGAGGCCCTCTAACTTCTGACTTGAAACTTAAGTGACTTCTGGAGGGTAACATCTGCCAAAAAAATGAGGAGGACACAGTGGGAAGGGACAGGGACATTGGATGAACAGAAGCAGGGACCTCTGGGGAGAAAGGGGAACCCATCACAAGGTGGGATATAGAGCCCCCCTCCCCACCTGAAGGGGACGAATAACAGAAATGTGGGTGAACAGAGACAATGGACAGTGTAGGATACAAAATAATAATAACAATATATAATTGATCAAGGATTCATGAGGGTAGGAGGGTGGAGGAAGGAGGGGAATAAAGAGGAGCTTATACCACAAGCTCAAGTAGAAAATGTTTTGAAAATGATGAAGGCAACATAAGTACAAATATGCTTGATATAATTGATGTATGGAATGTTATAAGACCTATAAGAGCCCCCAATAAAATGGTTAAAAACAAAACAAAACTGGGGCCCCGGGAGGACAGGGGAAGTACAGACACATTGTGGGGGTGGCACACATGCACAGAACAGGTAGCGTATGAGCTATTGTTTGAGCAACTGATTTGTTGTGTCAACTTGCACTACGAAATATTCAGACAAAAAGCCGTCATGCTGTTATTACACTGATTCCTGTTCACAGTCATCTGTACGTGTCAGAGTAACCGGTGCTCCATACAGGTTTTAATGGCTGGTTTTCACAAATAAATCACCAGCTTTTTCTTCTGGGGCTCCTCCAGGGGAACTCACACCTCCTGGAGGGGCAGTGAATTATCTAATGTGGCTGTTCTAGCCAAATTCTCTAACTCCCACCAAACGACCTTTTCTTGCATGGGTCTGGTAAGAAGGTGGAAGATACTGATAAGATTCACCTGTGAGTTAACTGTGACCAGGATTCCCTGGAGTGACATCCTGCTGGGTATAAAATGAGCCCTCTGGGAAGCAGAGGAGAGATCTCATTACCAGCAAGAGCCAGGAATGGAACGCATCGTCCAGACCCCAGACCCCTGCACAGTGAACGTCCTGGGTCCAGAAGACAGCTACAACATCAGAGAAGCAGCAGCAGAACCAGGGCCAGATCACAGGACAGAGTGGTGGGCTTCTCAACACATGAAGCAAGTCAAGGTGAGTGCTTGTGTGCAGGAAGCCTGCTTGTGGGCACTTAATCATGGCACTTGAAAGTGGCCTCTGGGCACTTACCTAATAGACTTGTGTATAAGCCAAGTTTTTCGACATTTTAATGCAGTTTTTGTGGGAAAATTAGGTGCCTCAGTTGATATTCGGGTCGGCTTATACTCGAGTAGATACAGTAATTGGAGAAGCTGGACTTCGTGACCCACAGAAGTGAAGCTGAATGTCTTTAAGCTGAGGCTTATTGGAGCAGGGTGCCTCTGGCCACTTAATTCAGGGAGCTGAGTTTACTGACCCACTGAGCTTAAGCTGAATGTCTTTGGGTTGAAGGTTATAATAAAGTGGTATGCCCTTTGGGCCTTTATTAGCAGACTTGACAAAACTTTGTAACATGTCCTGATAGACAACTCAACCATAAGCATTTCTCACTGGCATTACAACTCGTTAACTTCCTTACTACATCCTTTAATTATGAATTTTGTTTGTGAGTTCTGTGTAGCCATTGCAGTGGTTATGAGAATCTAGAGATAAATTATAAAACATTAATTCAGTCAGCACACCGCCAATCTTTCACTATCAGTCAAGCAAGCAGGTTACCTGTTTGCACCACCTAGGGACTCCACATAATCATTTTGCTGAATATAGTAACTACTCTAAAAAGATATAAGATATTCATGGGGTTAGCCAAAGCTAATTTAAAAAAATCAAACAACTCACTTCCCTCTGCTCAATCCCAACTCATAGCTACCCTATAGGGCAGACTAGAGCTGCCCCTATGGGTTTCCACGGCTGTAAATTTTAACAGGAGCAGAAAGCCTCATCTTTCTCCTACACAGCAGCTGGTAGGTTTAAGCTGCTGACCTTGTGCAATGTGTAACCCCTTACACCACCGAAACTCCAGGGTAAAGTTACAGAGTAAATTAAATGTGCATTAAAAAAAAGGTGATTTTTTTAAGGGAAATTAAAGTAAGCTGACATTTCAAATTTTGAGTATGGTAGATCCAAAAGTCAAAGTCAAGTACTCTAAAATATAAATACTTGGTCTGATTCAGGGGAAAGCAAGTTTTGGGGATCCAGAGAACTTCCTCAGTCTAGGTGAGAAAAGAGCTTTGCAGCACAGTCTAAGCAGGAGATAGGCCAAGGGTCTACCAAAGAACAGAGACAGGTGTGTCTGTCTGTGGGCATGGCTAAGAAGAGGCACTCAGTCTAAAACTCGACAACGATGGCTCTCAGATGATGAGAATATTTTCAGAAATAAATTTTTAGCAAGACTGTGGAAAATAGTACCAAAGGTTTGTTAGGGGATCTGCTAAGCTAGGTTAGATCCTTTACTAAGGATACAATGTCACCACCAGTGTCAGATGCTTGCCATGTGCTAAGCACTCTACTATCATTTCTGACCCTGAATTGTACCTGGAGCCCTGGTGGCGTAGTGGTCACATGTTATCCACATGGTTGGCAGTTCAAAGACACTAGCAGTTCCTCAGAAAGACTGGGTGCTCTACTCCCATACACAGTTACAGTCTCAAAAACCCACAGAGGGTTGATATGACTCAGCATTGACTCCATAGCAGTGAAAGAACTGTAATTTATTAACTTCCCTAATAAGCCCCATAATCCTACTCCCTTCCATGCTATAGCTCCAGGGTTTCAGGTACTCCTGATAGTGTGGGAAGACTGGACACAAAGTCAACTACTTCTGAAGTGGGCTGGGCTAGATTACTCTTCAGTGAACCAGAGAAGGCAGCTCCGGGTTGACCCATACCCTGATATCTTTGTGGGCCTGATCACAACCAGTTAAATCTTGTAGCATAACCACTGCCACTTAGAGACCTGCAGGGCTGGGACACCTAAACTTCACCCACACACAGCAAGAAGTAGCCAGAGACTCTTGCCCCTCATGATTAAGGAATTGTCACAACTCAAGGAGGGATTTGAAACCTACACTGACCAGGTTGAACTCACTTCTAATACCAAACGGCTGACTCATTTCCTCCCAGATGACCCTGCCCATAAATATACAGAACCCCAATTATTCAGAGTCAAGTCTCAGGGACTGGCCTCCTGGCTCAGTGCCTTGTAGTAATGCTCCATTCTCTTTATCAAAGATCTTTACACATACTAATGACACGGAATGAAACTTAGGACTCTGAGTTAGGTTTACACATGATTTCCACCTCGCTCGTTCTATCTCTGGACCTTGGGTAAGTCACTGTCTAGAGTTCTTCATCTATAAAATGGGAGTAACGCGAACCTCAAAGGTAGTGAGGTCTTACGAAGCATTTAGGCTGAGGTGAGATGAAGCATTAAAAAATACACAACAGTTGGAGTGTGTAGCACATGGCAAGCAACCAACCCTGATGGTAATACTATCCCTTCAGTAAAGGAACAACCCTAGCACATCAAATTCCCCACTAAAAAAAATTTTTGGATCATTTTCCACAGTCTTGCTAAAAAATTTCTGTCTGAAAATATTCTCTATCATCTTAGAGCAATAGTTGTCAAACTTCAGGCTAGGAGGAATGAGTATGTGTGGGATGTACCCCATTATTATTAGGTGCCAAGGCGGCACAGACTCCTAAGCAATCTTAAGAAATCAGAATTGCAAAAATAACTCTAGTAACTGAGGTGCACCAAGTCCACTTAGGACACGTTGAGAAACGCTGGATTACAGCATATACAGTCAGCCTTGTTCTTGAGGTAACCACATAAACAACTAGTAGCGAACCTATGTGTTGGGCAGTAAAGCCCTAGGGGATTCACAGGTACATGGTGCCCTGGGGCCCAGGCCAAGGGCCCACACTGCAGTGTCTGACTCTTCTTTGTAACCAAGCTCCTCTGTCAATTTTCCTAACTGCCTCAGTGCACTGCTTCCTATGTACTTCCTTTGAAATCTTTGTCTGATTCGAGTAAGTGGTAGGGGAGCCCTGGTGGCACAGTGTGTTATTCACTGGGCTGCTAACTGCAGAACGGGTATTTCAAACCACCAGTGGCTCCTTGGAAGAAAGATGAGTCTTACCACTCCTGCCAAGATTTACAGTTTTGGGAAATCCGTAAGAGCCATTTCACTCTGGCCTACAGGGTCGCCCTGAGCCAGAATGGACTTGATGGCCCTGTTTCTGCTGTTTTAGGATGAAGTAACTTAGAAATAGATAGCCCAGGTTGCTTAAATGACTACAGAAAATTATGTGGCTTCCGTCTGTAGGACTAAAGTACTTCTACAAGCATAATAGTAATCCACGTTACATCCATTTCACATCTCAGAAGCCAGTTTCATTTAAATCTCAGCTTTCCACTGTGATCTGATAAATACATGACCTTCAGGTAAGTTAACTATGACTACATATATATGCATACACATATATACGAGGACAACTCACATACGTATGTATGTATGTAGATGTGTACAAGCATGTGAGGTTGTCCCAGAGAGCCTCATTTCCTTAATGGAAGCAAGGACGCAGAGCAAGTAGCAGCCACAACATAAAAAGGAATAGAGTACGGCATGTAGATTTCCCCATACATTTTATTTCTAGTATATTTCACTAAAAACCTGTCTTTTAAAATTACTAATACTGTGTTAGGCATACTTACACATTAGCACCTACACAAGAACTAAAGCACTCTACAAACAATATATTCCATATAGATGGAGAAAGTTAGGGTTTCTCAAGGTCAAAAAAGTTCCAGGAAAAACTGGATTCAAGGACAAAAGATAAACAGTAAACTTATGAAAATCACACACAAACTGTGTTTATTTTAGTGTTATGAGCTCCCAACATATCATGATATATTTCTTAGAAAACCAAATCAAGGCAACGTAAAGAATTTTCTAGTTTTGAGTTGTTTTCAAACCCATCTCTAAGTTAAAATTCCAGCATTCCTTGAGCATCATAAAATGATGGCATCCAATCAAGAAAAAAATTTTCATTTTTATATGCCGATAAAATATTTATAAATGAGATTTATAGATACTTGATTACATTTTCTGTGTAGAAAAATTAATTGTCTAGTTTATTTTGTATAAATTTCAAATTGCTATACACCAACGTATAAATATCTAGTGGGTGTTTGTTAAATTAAGCACATTTTAGTTCTTGTTGACTATATCTACTTTTGGTACTTTACAATCTTGTGAATAGTTTATCAACTGGTAGTATATTTATCTATTCAGTGAAATGGAATATGGAAAATTTTGATTCTTGGAAGCCAATCACTACATGAACTGGATCGCGGGAAATTTAAGACACTGCTGGGATGTGAACTACTCAAGAGCTACACACTGGCGAAAGAGTAAGTAAGATCAGAAATTTGCAATAGCCACTGCCGAGTCACTTTCAGGAAGAGATGGAGGGCAGAGCAAGGGCGGCCATCTGTAGTCATCTAAACTAAAAACTACACGAAATGAAGTAAGGCACTATCACGGCTGTTGCTTGTTGTGTACTGTGATTTCGATCTGAACAAGCCCGTGTGACACAGAACTGCCTCACGGGCTTTGGTAGGCAGTAATCTTTGTGGGAGTGGGTTGCCAGGGCGTTTCTCCCACAGAGTGGCTGGATGGATGACAACTGCCAACCTTTCCGTTAGCAGACAAGCCACTAACTATTAGTATCACTAACAGATACTACTTCAAAACAACTTCCATGCCCATTTAGGACTGGTCACCACATCCCAGTAGGCAGAATATGGATGACAGCTAAGCCATGATTAAGTCTATCTATTCTAAGGTTGGAAAATCCAAGCTGAATTCGTGAGCCATGTCTTTAATACTGATACAGAGTGAACCATTGTCAGGGGCAGGCACAACAAGTGGCAAGGCTGGGGACACGGGAGAGGGGAAAAAAATGATGCAAAGTAGGATCACACTGTAGGGAAATCTGTAGCTTGTATCTAAGTTACCGTCTCCAGAAGTTCTTTTCCAATAGAAGTAAGTTCACATATTTGACTAGAGTCTCAGGCAGTAAATGTCAAGTATCAAGTATCCAGGAAGCGCCTGGCACCATGCTGGTGAATGTGAAGAACAATGATAAGTGATTTCATACAAACACCCTTACCTTTAGCTGAAACCCCGTTTCATTCACAGTCTCCTTCCAGTTTCCTTCCTTAAAAAAATATCACAAGTTAGGATTTCAGAAATCATGATTGTAAAACAAGCTCATGAGGCATATTACAAATTAACTTTAAAAAATACAGTTGTTTTCGTGAAACAAAAATAAGACCTACCATTCTGTTATTTCAGGGGAGATGGGAGGATTAAAGAGAATTCACCTCACTTCAAAGCTAACCTTAACACCCCAAATTCCAAAAGAGCATCAAAACGTGGGCCCCAGCTTTTACAGAAGTGGACTTCAAAGAATAGAACTTCCCTATCATTCAAATGATGACAGCAGACAACTCTCTAGTGTCTTTAAATCTGAAAATGTGAGCCAAAAGAATGATGTATAGCATCAGAGCCTAAGTTGTGAGGTGCTGGTTTGCAGGTGGCTGTGGATGACAGCGGAAGTCCGGGAAACATCTGTGAGCTCTACATAGGAAGTACGCCCTTGGTGATTTCCCTCTCTCCACAACAGAGCGATGGGAAGACACTGGCTACCAAACAGAGTGCACAGGCGAGATGACTACAGGAGAACAAAATGATCAACCTGACTTGAACGATTAAAACCTTGTCAATTGATCACCCACCTGATGCACACTGAGCCTGATCTGGTTTTCAACATTTTTTGTGGGTTTTTTCATATTGGGGTTTATCTCAGCTGTATTTTGTCATTGGGGGTGACCCTATTGAACTTTTGTTATACATTTTTCTCCTTTTTGACATATAAAACCCAGGATTGATGAACCTATAGAGACAGCAGGTAGAATTAGGGTTCATGGGGGAGACAGAGGGAGAGGGCGGAGTAGAGAAGAGCTGACGTCAAGGAGTTCAAGAAGGAAGAGAATGTTTGAAAGTGATTGTGGTAGCAACTGTACAATACTGTTTGAGGTGATTGAACTATGGAATACAATATCTGTATTAGCTCCCAATAAAATGACTTAAAAAAAAAAGATGTATTCACTAATTTTGAAAATCAAAATAAAACAATGAAATACATATAAAGTAAGCAATGATGACCCAAAAAGGTCCTTAAAAATAAGCATTCTAACAGTTTAGACGAAAATTAAGACCGAATGAATTATTTTTAAAGATTACATGAATAAATGGAAAATACCTGTGTCAAAAACAAATAGAAGATCTTGTCTCGACACAGGATGGGGTGGGACGCAAGCCTCAAGAGGAAGTTTTCTAAACCGATGCGTCGTCTTTCCACAAAGTCTGGATCCATGTTGTCAGCAGACAGTTTATGCCACACAAACTCTGCCTAGTTAGACACACAAACACACAATCACTAAGAACCGTCTCAGAGCTAAGTATTTCCTAATTACACCCCTTCCCCTTCTTACCCTTTTCTCTGGTAGAGGTGGTACAACAACATGGGGATAGAACGCTAACAGGTAGTTTCTCAACAACTCAAATTCACTATAGCGCCTCCAAAGAGAGTCCGTCAGGACACTCTGGCCATCACTATGTTCAACTGACCTGAAAAGGAGCAGAACATTCACATTGTTGTTTCAAGAATATAAATACATACACATATACATCCACCCCACCCACTGACAGCCAGTCAATTCCGCCTACACCCGGCTCCACTTACTGAATGTTTACAAACTAGGCACTGAGTGAAGCACTGTGCGCATATTGTGGAATTTCGTCCTTACAGCAACCCTGTGCAGCAGAGGAGGAAGGGCAGCCCAGTATCTGCTCAGTCAGAAGCATAACTATCTGTGCATAGAGCACACAGGCCCATCTGATCAGAAACCCCACTCCTAATGAGTATCTTCTGTCAACAGAAAATCTATGTGGACTCAAGAGAAATAAGAACTCTACTTGATTAAATTATTTCCAGGTTCTAGGCATTTAAGTGCTGATAACCTTAGGGATACTTATAAAATAACCTATTCAAAAATGTATTTATCAAAGTGAATTATCTCTATCATACGGGACAGGCAAGAATTCCATAAGACAGGGAGAGAGAAAAGCATAAAGAAAAATGGGCAAAACAAACTTGATCTTAAAATTTTTAACTTTCATACATTAAAAGATAACATAATCAATGCCAAAATATAATACTCCTCAAGTTATGGCCCAAGGCCCCAAAGCATAGAGCTTTGGCCTAACAATGTAAATTCCCGAACCCTACCACAAAAAAGTGTACTGTAACAATTTCTCCAAGGGATTTCTTTCTCTCTCTCTCTTTTTTTTTTTTTAGGGGTATGTGACCACTTTAGGACTCTCAGTTAGTTAATTGTGCCAGCCTGGCCGATAATCACATGTGGGGCTAATTGAAAGGCGGAGGGATAAATGGTGAGGCTCGCCTTTCTAGTTATCGGGTCTCTTGCTTTGTGATGGTCGCACCAGAGTGCAGCTGCCTTAGCAGTTCCCTGCTTCAGCTTGCAAGAATGACTTCCTACAAGACATCCCCAAGGAGAAGCCACATGGACCTATCCCGATGCAGCCCTGGGTGCTGGAGCAGCCGTGTGGAGACCCCTGTTAGTGCTGAGATGCTTGTTCGTGCACTGACTCAGCTTTCCTCCTGCAGTCGGCATCATTGCCTCTGTTTTGTGAGGTGGAGGACTTTGTGGACTGGTGTTGGGTTAATGTTGGACTTGTGGGCTTGGGCAGCATTGCGTTGGGATGTTTTCGTGATGCACCTTTTCTTTACATAAAACTCTCTCTTGTACATGAGTTGCTGTGGATTTGCTTCTCTAAAGTACCTAGACTAATACAGACTCCTCTTATTATTTTTTAAAAATCATTTTATGGGGGCTCTTATAGCCCTTATCACAATCCATTGTGTCAAGCACTTTTGTACATATTTTGCCATCATCATTTTTGAAACATTTTCTACTTGAGCCCTTGGTATCAGCTCCTCCTTGTTTTCCCTCTCTGCCCCGCTTGCAAGGGATTGATTTCTTGTATTAAAATCTGAGAACCATTATTTTATTTTTTTTATTTTTTTATTTTTTAGAAATATGGAACACTTCACGAATTTGCGTGTCATCCTTGTGCCCCTGCTAATCTTCTCTGTATCAGAGAACCATTATTTTAAAACAAATTTATAAGATTGTGAAAGTCAACTCAATAATCCTTTTGTGTGACACATATTTACTGATGAGTCACTTAATATTTAATTAGAGTCCAGCTCTATTACTCAAGTATGGTCACTTATTACTCCAAGTTTCAAATTAGATCGGACTAGGGAAGAATACAATTTCAATCACACTGAAGTTATGAGTGAACAATTATACACAATTCCATATTATTCAAATCAAGGTCTTCTAATAATCAAAGTAAACAATAACTAATTTCATTCTCCAAGTGGGTGATAAAAATAGGTACGTATAAACACTAATATTTTCTAATTGTAGACTTAATAGTTTCCTTAGAAAGAGCACTAACACTAATTTCTGTAGTCATGTTTTTAAATGGCTGTTAACTTCAAAAGGGGTAAAAAAAAAACAAAACAAAGAACCACCTCTCATGGGACCATACATTTTTTCAATCACCTTCCAAATCTTTGTGATATATATAGTCAGGTGAATCAAAAAATATACCTTCTAGGGTTCCAGTTCACACGTGCACACGTTTATTCCATATAAAATGCGCCTTTTTAAACGTGTCTCTGCAATCAATGGAAGTTCTCAGTAATAATCTGTCTCAGTCCCATTGGGGTGCCTTTAGTAAAAGGTCCAAGCCAAACAGCGGCTTCTGAGGGGATCAGCTGGGCCAGTTAAATTCAATTCAGGACAGGAGAGTCAGCTGAGACGGCAACTGAGTTTTGAGATTTCAAAGGAGTCATCTTGATCAATTTTCTCAAAAGACAGAAGATGATCCCTTGAGCTTACTGGGAAGAAGTTTTAAGAAAAGGGAAAACTCCACTGATGAGAGAAAGGCCAGGAGAGGTGAGCCAGGAATTTCTTTCCCTCATGACAACACACCTGCTCATTGTTCCAGGGTAGCAAGGGCAATCCTATGACAATGACGCTGGGCAACCTCACCCCATTCCCTCTACAGCTCTGACACTGTCCCTTCGGACTTATCTGTGTTCCCCAATCTCAAAGAATTTTAAAAGAAACAAGTCTGGGGTCCCTTAAGGATATCAAAACTGCCATTTTGATGTGGTAATAAGTCAAAAAGTTCTTCAAGGAAGAGTGAAAGATGGAAACACCTGCAGAAGTTTATAAGCCTATATAGAAAATACGTCATGAGACAACTTCACATTTTGAGGTTTTTGAATAATCAAAGTGTCTATGATTTTGTTGCAATACTTTTTTACTTAAGCACATATACATGTATGTGTATGAACATATATATCTGTGTACCCATGACCCGATTTTAAAAAGAGCCATCTTCTCCCTCTTTTCTAAACTCCCTATTTCTGACAAATACCTTCTTCTCCACCAGTAGACTTTTTCCTTAGCGATGTCCATCTCCCTCTTCACATTGGCTATCCTGGTATCCTTTTCCAAAATTGTCAAGGACAGTTTCTAAGTATCTAAGGGGCAGACTCCATCAACGCATGTCTCAAGTTAACATTCCAGATCCCTCATGCAGTCCACTATCCTTACCTCTCCCCTAGAATACATTAGGATACCCAGGGCATCAGCGCAAAAGACACTCTGCTTAGGTTACTGTTAAAAAGCTAAACCAGGAAAGGCATCCCAAGAAGGGCAATGATCCGTAAACAATTCTGTCCCACTGGAGAATTTGCATCAGCAGACAAATCTGCCTGTTGAAACCCAATCCCAATTCTCATTGCCTACCTTGTTTCAATGAGGTAAGCAGTGTATGTCTCTTGCATGTTCATGGCATTTCTTCCAGTTCGTTTTTCTGCTTCGGAAACACTGATTTCTATCTTCTTCAACCAAAAATTATTTTCTGTCATCTGGACAAAAAAAAAATCCGTAACAAGAAAAAGAAAACCCCTTTAAAATGGTATTTAAAAAAAAACTAATTGCAATGAAACTCTCTCAGTTCATGTTGCAAACTAGATTCTTGTATTTCTTTAAATAGCTAGGATTTGCTAAATGACTTAGGAGCACACTGTAGCACATTAAATTTTCCCAGAAGCCATTTTAACACACACTACACACTGAATGATTAAACTTAGTCTTCTGACCATAAAAATTTGTAACCTCAGAAACATACAGAGGCAATTCTACTGTCCTGTCACTATGAGTCGAAATCTAAGTCAGTAACTGAGTTTGAGGGTGGTTCAGTTTCCCAAAAGCACCCTGGTGGATAGTGGGTTAGGTGCTGGGTAGCTAACTACCAAGTCAGCAGTTCAAGGCCACGAGGTGCTCCGGGGGGAGAAAGATGAGGCTTTCTGCTCCATCCATAAACTAAAAGGGCAGCCTACACTTCTATAGGGTTGCTATGAGTCATTCTCGAGGGCAGTGGTTTCGTAAACCTTCCCTTATTATGTGAAAGCAAATCACTAATTACCAGTCGCTTTATAACGCCTATCAGAGCCCTGGTGGCATAGTGGGTTCCAGGTTGACCTACTAACCACAACGTCAGCAGTTCAAAAAATGCGGCTTTCTCCTCCCGTAAACAATTAGTCTGGGAAGCTCACCGGGGCTAGAGGGTCGCTGAGTCGGCACCGACCGGACGGCAGTGAGCTTTGGAGGTTTTACAACGCACCCGTGGGCCTCTGGTGGCTCTTGGGCTGCAAAGTCCACGGGGGAAACCACGAGGCTTTGTCCGCTAGTGAAGAGTGACCGCCTCGGAAACTCCCAGGGCAGTTCTACTCTGTCCTGAGCCAGCACTGACTCGACGGCAGTGGAATTTGGTTCACACGCACACATGACACGCTCAAAAATGAAATTACAGCAAAACGGGGGAGGGGGGGAGCCAAAATAATGAAACGCCGTTTCATTTGCAGCTTTCCGGAGCCTGACAATTCCTTCAACCTCCAGCTGGCAGGCAGCGCCAGGCCCCTCACTCTCATTCCCCAGACCAGCTGCTCCCGCAAGCCCCCGCCTTCCCAGAGGTGCCGCTCGCCCCCGCGGCACCCCAACCAGCACCTGCCCCGCGCGACGCGCTCGCCAGCT